AATGCCAGAAGCAATTAAAAAGAAATTGAGCCCTGTTTTAGGTTGAACTATTGCTCCATTTGCAGTCGCTGGCAGCTCTCCAACAGCATACTTGAAATCTTATTAATCAGGGTGGTCACTATTTGTTCACCGTTAAGGAGCCCAAGCGTCACAGGGCTGATCAGACCTTCCTTCCAGACACTCAACAGACTTGTATGGATTTCAGCAGCTGGACCTAAGTCTGCATAGGGTACAGTGCTGTCTCCTGCTCTGGCATCTCTGACATTTTCCTGGACATGGCTTCCTGTAAGTCCTCCATAACACCTCATGTTTCAGTGGCCCTGAGTTCCTAGAATTAGAATAGACTTCCAAAACACTTTGGAAATTGTCATTAAGCACCCCCTTTTTGCAGTCCCAACCTTGACAATTCACAGTTTAACATCCTGGGGACATACAGTGTACATGATGCTCTGCAAAGATTTCATCAGATGTACCCTGATTTTAGACAGCATAAACTATATGCCATTCTAAACAAAGCAGTAAACACTCAAATATAATCCCTTTCCTCTAAATTGACTCTCCTACAGGATTTGCTCAGGGTCTTTTGAGTGTGCGTAGCCATCTACCTCTGCACTTTCTCTTCACAAATATAACTTTTTTGTAGGAACACAGATTTCTTTCCCCTTCAGCCTCCTCATAGTTAGCTTTCTTTGACCCCCAATATTCCCATAGTCAAAAGGACAAAACAAAATCCAATAAAAATGCAACTATTTTTTGGAAAATATTAGCTCTTTATACCTTCTTCTGGCCTCAAGGCTCACCAGTCTTTTCAAACTGCTGCCCTGTCATCCATGTTCTTTTGTTCTTCTGTTGGGGGCCTCTGTGATTTCAAACCCTGGTTTTCAGTAGAAAAACTGCATCTTCTGTGCTTTGGCCCAACTCAGTGTCCTTAGACATTTTCAATAGAATGGAAATTATCTGTAGCTAATGACACTCTATTTTCTACAGTCTGAGAGAGATGTTAAGATACATATATAAGACTTTATCCTCATTGATAATATATGGCTAACTCTACATTTACTAAGTAATTCCACAATTTGAGCAACCTACTTGTAAATTAACGCATAGAAAGGTTCTTGTCTCAAGTTACTATGATAAACTATTATTAGAAAGTGCAGAGGATGAATTTTTATGGATAGCTGAAATGCACCAGCAGAATAACTAGCAATGATGGTGCATTATCATTAGAAGAACAATTCATTAAAAAGGCAGCAGGATAAAAATAGGATTGTTATCTTTCAGTGGAATGAAAAGCTTCTCATTTCAGAAAACTTTAACGTATTTTTAATTTAAATTATTTACATTTCATGATTGATATAAATTTAAAAAAAAAAATCATTTTGGAGTGTTTACACTTCATTTCTGAAGCCACACACAAAAAGAACTTAATTCTATTCACAAGTATTTGCCTTTGTTATACCCCTTTCTACCTCTCCAAACATCCAAGTGAAGGCCCACAGCACAACCTGAAGATCAATAGATTTCCTTTTGGACAAATACACTCCGTAGGGGTAGAGTCTTGCAAACACGTGGAAGTTTTTTTTCCTTTTGTACAATGGGGGCTTTGGCTCAGGCATATCTGTGGGCTGCAACTACTTCAGCACAGCACTGAACCAGAGGCACTCTTTAAAATAGTTTCAAAGCTACTACAGACTCTCTAGTTCAAAAGCAACACTTCCCTGTTGGGAATCAAAAAGTGGCCAATGCAGATCTGGAAATTTTGAGATTGCATTCCCTGATGAAATGCTTTCCTGAATACCTAATTAATTAACTACATCATTTTCATTTCCTATGTTGATTAAAAGAATCTTTGCTGCAGATCTACCCTTGAAGTGACAAAGGCAAGGATAATTAGTTCTGCAGCCAAAACAAGTGGACACAAATTGTACTTGGAATGAACGCTGTGAAAGAAAATAATCACAAAAATACTGCAGCATCCAGCAGTGGACAAGGATAGAAAATTGTTCACAGATGAAGAAGGAACACTAGAAGTAAAGAGCAGATGTGTCCTCTCCAATGAAACAGCAAGTACAATACTCATAGCTTAGCAGAGGCTTCCTCCAGCCTACAAAACTTTCAGCACATCTTTTTCTGCTCTGAGTGCCAGCTAGTTGATGGCCGTCTCTGCCCCCTTGCCTTGTCCCAGAAGACTAACTGGGATGAAAGAGATAAAGAACAGGGAATGTGACAGCCAGTGTCTTCTCATAAATGCCCAGTGGCCCTGCGGAGGCCATCAGCTGGGGAGGAACTTCCAAAACAGCACATGGAAGAGCCCTCAGCTGTTCAAGCTGCTTAAGCTAATTTATCATGATAATTAAGTACAGGTGATCCAGTTAGCTTAATTGTTCCCAGGACTGGAATCTTATTCTACAGAGACAGCTCTGGGAGAGAATCTGATTGTGTTTTAGTCTGACTCGAGGCTATTAAACAGGCACCTTTTAGTTACATGTTTTGGCAAACTTGGCTTTATTTTCCTGTGTGTGAATAATGGTATTACTGATGGTCATTATATCCAGTGTCAGAGTCACAGCATGTAACTCATACGCTCTGTTAGCATTGGAGTTATGCCAAGGCCCACCAGAGTTGAGTCTTAACCATTCAGGCAGGTGGCTAAGACCACTTGCTGTGAATGGCGACAAAATCGAAGTAGTTACTCCCTGGCAACCCTTACGGCTTCTTACAGCTGAATTGAAATACAGAACAAGTTAGATTCAAAGTTAATCTGGAAAGGTAGAATTACAGTTCTTGGATAGAATCATTTGTAACTGATGACAAAGTTACTTAAATGATCTTGTCCATGAGAAATTTCAAACTGTAGCCTAACTTGCTCCCCCATATCGATGACATCTCTGTAAATTCTGTAATAACATGCAATTTGCATTGAAGTCCCAGGAGATATCTATAAAGGCTAGTCAAGTATCAGCAATATATCAGGTAAACAGAAGTTCTGTTCTCGTGCAGTTATTTCTTAAGGCTAAATACTGAAGTCTTTGTAAACCTGCAATGTCCATCAATCACAGAATTATATAAGCATAAGCATTTAAGGGTGGGAACATTTCTACCCTCTGGGAAACATTAACACTGTCAAGACACAAGCCAGCCTCATTCATTTAAACTTGGTTTCAAGTGTACTTTAAGTCTTAGCAACACAAAAGAAAATAGGATTTCACAGTATTTGAAAAACAGTAGTTCTAGGAAAGCTTATATAATTAAGAACATTTTGTGATATGTTTATACAACTTGACTGCATATTAATATGTCCTGATATTTTTATTACTTAACAGCAGTACAAATTTAGTCTTTATGGTCAATGACACACTCACCTCCCCAGTGCTCATCACACACTGTGAACAAGGTGGTTTTATTGGCTAATCCTGGGAACACACTGCTGCACTCCATAACAATAGCCTGAGGAATCATTATGATGCAGGACACAATCCAGATAATTATAATGCTGTTCCTTGCTCGCTTGGCTGTGCTTTTAAACATCAAAGGGTGACAAATTGCATACCATCGATCCAAAGCAATGCAGCTGAGTGTTAGTACAGACACAGAGACCGAAACTGTCTAAAGAAAATGAAATATTATGTAAATGTAAATGTAATTTTTCAGAGCTTTAAAAATTATTTACTGTAATTTTTTTCCTAGAGTTTTAAAAATTATTTTTGTTTTCAACATAGATAGCTTTTTATCTGCAATTATTAAATAGAAAGCATTCCCAGAAAAAGACTCCTTTTAAAATCACTTCTTACAGAATTACAACATATATCCCCATCTGCTGTACTCCCACTAGAATCAACATGACAATTCACAGATTAGGGTGCTACCCAAACTGAGTAGGTGTAGCAGGGTCAGATTCTGAAAGAGCAGATTTAAGCAAATTAGAATTTGCAAAACTTTATCTGAAAAACTACTTTTAAAACATTAGACAACTAATTAGATCTTTTTTTCTTTGTACAACAATTTTGTTTGTTTATTTGCTATGTTATATTTGGATACCAGTACTATCATTTTGCCTCTTCAGTTTTCACAGGAACAATGGAAATTCAGGGTCTCATGGAAAAAAACAACAACAATCAGCTTAAGGCAGATTAAGTCATTATATCTTCTATTCATTTTAAGAAATAACCTATTGCTTTGGTCTTACTCTTTCACACTGTATACTAGGTGCTCATTTCACTTCGTCTTCAGATTTTCTTCCACTAGAATGGAGGCTTTGAGAAAAATTTCGTGATTTTGATTGTATCAGATAGAGGGGAGAGCTGCTGGAGAATTGTTGCCCTTGACAATGTGGGTCTTCAGCCTTACAGGTATCTGCTGAAAATATAAATTGTGCTGGAGGCACAGAGCTGATCACCAGCATACATTCAGAGTTCTGCTCAATTCTTTTGATTCATAATGACTGAAAGGCCAAGCACTTGTCATTCTAGTATGCCCAGTCAGTTAATCTAACCAACTATTCTTAGAAAAGGTATTTGTCAATCATTTTGATGCAAATGATCTCATAACTAATTAAGTCCACTGGTAAATGAGTGGTGGCTATTATTGCTTAAGGCAGACTGTGATCAGCTCCCTGTGAACCTGGATACTTTGACTATTTCTAAAGAATGCACAGTAAGTCACTAAACACATATGAAAGCCCAGACTCCCTTCAGGAGTTCGGATTCTCTGTCCTGGACACTTGTGTAGCTGTTTAAGTCCACATACACAGAATATAAAAAACTGTAATCTTATTTACAGACATTTTTATTGCTTTATATTTTTTCTGAATTATTAAAAAAGATCACAAAAAACGAAGAGCATCAGACAAATGTTCCAGTAAGTGTATTGCCCTAGTCTAACATTGGGTGGACCACGAACAATATTTATTAAGCATAAAACATATTCACAAGTGGAACAGTCCTTTAATCCTCAGCATGTACCCTGAGATATCCACTTCAGTAGCAGGGATAGGCTTCCAGTAGATTATCACTATTAGGAAGATGCCATTGTTCTTTCTCTTTTTCGTAACATGGCTAATGTGTAGACAAACACAGTAAAAATAATACCTGTAAGTAGGGAATCACTTTGCAGAGGGGCTGCCCAAAGAACCACGTTTCTGTGATGTCCACTACTAAAGTTGCTGGAAGACAAGTAATTGTGACCAGAATGTCAGCCAGAGAAAGATTCACTATGAAATAGTTGGTAGCTGTCCGCATGTGATGATTCTTCCACACTGCAATGCAAACTGAATTTGGAAAGACAAGTTAGTGAGATGGAAATGACTTAGGGAATGCTTCAACAGGAAAACCCTTGGCTTTGCAGAATTAAAGAAATGTTTGTGTTCTTTGTTTCACACAGAATATTTGAATATGTACTTCACTGTTTTCTTTTAGAGTGGAAACAAAAGGGTACATGTAAAGAGAATCTTAGTACACAAAGAATAGTTTTCTACAGGCTGCAGCATGGGAAATAATCTGATACATAAAGCAGTTTATTTTCCTGCTAGTTTATCTTCACTATGCACACAACTTTCTTCATGTCTGTTTTTATCCATTAGCTCCAGTCTATGGCAATACACATCTACATTTGTAAAAGCTTATCTTTTTTTTTTTTATGATAGCGTGCTGCTTAATTCAAATTGCTAGCACACGGAATCTTGTAAACTGTACCAAGACAACAAACATTTTATAAAATATTTTGCTGGGCGTAATATATCTGTTGCATCTGCAGAGAATCTGTAACAGTTGTCTGGGTAACCGTGACTTGAAGTAAGTAAATAAAGATAATTTTTGCAGTATTAAGCACTACCCATTTTAAATGTAGTATATTTTTGATAATGATTACTGTGATCAAAAGCAGCATGTAGCAGACACTTTACAAGATGTGCCTTTAAAGCTTGTTTTATATCTTCTCTTTTCCTTCTTTTTCAATTTGAAAGGCTTTTAGAAATGAGGCAAATCAGTCCTTTAACATGGTTGCACTAAATTCATAAGCTGAAATGCCAAAATTGAGCCTGAGAAACTAGCCTACAAATAATTTTTTTAATCTTTGGAAAACCCTGAGAGATTGTATCAATCAATAGTTTTGAATGTTTTAGATTCAGTCACCAAAAGCTTTTTAAAAACTGATGCACAAACTTTCCAGAAACACCACAATACTTCTTGTAAGAAAACAGTGCAACTCATTGTACATCAAAGGTTCTTCTCCTGTAAACAATAATTCATTCATCCTGCAAATCTGGATGAAGGTTCAAAGTCTCCTCAATCTGTCAGCACTATGCTTAATTTAGATATATTAAACAGATCCCAGAATACTAAAGCATAGAGTTGGAAAGGTCCTCAAGAGGTTGTCCAAATCTAAAATGGAATCAGCTAGAGTTAAGCCATTCTCTTGTAAAACTAGCTAAAACAGCTGAAAAAAAATACACAGGCTTTAAGGCACATAAGCTTTTGAGATCACATGCTGCTTTAGATCCTAAGAAGGATGGTGTGCCTGAAAGCTTGTGTCCATCTTCCAGCTGCATCAGTTGGTATAATAAAATACATTACTTCATTCCACAAATTTTGTCTTGTTTAAGTCCTTAGACCAACACAACTACAGTATGACAACCACTAAGCCATCGTTGGCAAGTTTACATTTTAAAATCTGTTGCATTTGACGATACTATGCCTCTTTTAAATGTATTGCAGTGATTAACTACCTTCACTATTCCGAAAAAAAAAAAAATCAACTAATGTTTAATCTACTTTTGCTGCAATTTGTATTACTTTTTTTTTCCTGCACACAGGCAGGAATGAAGAAGAGTTTTTCCCTGCAGCAATGCTCCACATATGTAAAGATCATTGTTACATCTTTCCTCAGTTTTCTTTTCAGACTGTGCAACTTCAGAACTCTTCATCTTTTACTCCCAGTCATTTTTAGAACCTCTGCAACCATCCTTGTTGCTGTTCTCTGGACACTCTTCAGACTGGGCTGTGTCTTTGTGGTCAGAGTGCAGTGACCAAAATTGGTGGAAAACTCATTCAAGACCTTACTAGAGATTTAGCAGGAGTTGAGATTAGAGAATTTCTTCCTGAGGGTTATGTTTAGATATTTAGGGGTATTTTAGGACAAAGAGAGAGGGAGAGGCTAGTTGGCCTTCAGTTTCTCTAAGAGAAGGTGATTTTATCAACTACCCTTTTAGGATATAGGCTTCCAAGTTTCATCCAAATCCCCTGTTGTGCCACAATATATGTTCTTCATATCTTTTAATGTGTTGCAGACATGGTTCCAGATTCTATTTAATCTTTGCTATATATCTATCATGTTCTTGCAAATGCAAGTGAAAACCCCTCTGCAAAGTTCTTCACTGTTCTCGTACTGTTTTGGGAGAAAATATCCCACAGAATCCATTTCTTCTACTGTTTTCTTCCTGAATACAGGATGTCAGGTTCTTTTAGCTGTGGCCTCAGATATCTGAAAGGCAAGGCTTATAAATCAAAAGTTTAAAGGAAACATCATATTAATTTTATTTTCTTCCCATTTGGGTGATTTAAGTTACCTACTAAAGTAATTATTTCTGTAGCATTGCATGATAATTACAACATAACTATCCAGAGCTTTATCATTGTCACTTGGTGCGTGGTATTACTACGGTTATAACTCAGAGTCTGGCAATGCAAAGGCAGCACCTAACAGGGAAGATAATACATTGCTGCCCCTCTGGAATGTTGTTCACAGTTGGAAATGCAACGCTGGGGATAAAAATTGCAAACACCATTTCATTTTCAATAATTTTAACACTTAACACTAAAAATGTGAAGATTTGGGCTTTTACTTATGTCTTGTTCTTTGTCTTGAGTGCAATTCATATTGAAATTATGGTCCTGTCTTATACTTAGGGAAAAGCTGATATTAAGTGGCAATGATTGTACTTTTTATTTCTTTTATCGATAGGCAAAAGTTAAATAAAATGTTGTTTTAAAAGTTCAGAATTTGACTACTTTGTTCTCGTGCTATGGTTTCAACAGTCCTACATTCTACATGATTCAGACAAGTGCATCGTTTTCAGCCAAGGATGTCAGTGCCTAAAGGTGCAAGGTTTAAGCAGATACGTATGCTCTTTGACAAGGCCTGTTCTCATTCCTGTGCTGACCTGTTTGGGGAAAGCACTGAAGATAAACATTATCTCTGGTAAAATAAATCCATTAAGTTAACAAATGTGAGATCAAGCTCATTGGCAGCAAACTGTATCAGAAATCAATTCATAGCATTTTGCATGTTGTGTTCAAAGCTTTCTATCAGTATGAGCAAATGAAACCTCATGATGACCCAGAGAGCTAAGAAAATATTCCCATTTTCATCTTTGATGCAAGGAAAGTGAAGTGTAGAACAGAAGTTGCTAAAGGCCGTACAGTAAATCAGACACAGAATAAGAAACTTGGACTCCTGATTCCCATTTCTGTACTAAACCTTCCAGATCACACTGGCTTAACATGGTTGAGATTTACATGAACTCCAGTACCTGCTGTTCCTCAGAGAAATAGAAAAGATGATGCCCCTTGCTACTCAGGGAGTAGCAGTATGCAGGAAATCTAATGTACAGAAAGTAGCTCTGAATTCCTTTGAATTCTAATCTATGGGGGCAAAAGGCATCCAAGGTGGAAAAAATAATAATTTACAAGCACAGAAATGCAAGATAATTTGTTATTTTAGATTTCTCCGTTTATGCTTGTGTGTTTCCCCTTTTGACCTTCTCTGTTCCTTGCAGCATAGGCATTTTCCATTGTTTCTACGGCACATAGCACAAGGGTATCTTAATTAGCATGTTTACATACTACCATAATAATTAAGTATCCCAGAAACTTATTCCATGAATGTATACAAAAAATGAGCTTGTGTAAAAAAGCCTCTGAAGAGAAAGTATTTTAAAAAGAAGTCAGCATTTCCTCCCACCCCATTACCCTCTGCTGGTTGCAGTATTGTTTTCAACCTGCACAAGCATTGGTAATGCTTTCTTTCAGTGCAAGGCTAAACTGAGCTGGGAGGCTTTGATACAAGTTATTGGAATAGGACAGAATAGTATAAATGACAGAAAGTTCCTTCGATATATTCCTTGCAGACTTGATGTCTTTCTGAGCCTACTACAGTACAACGTAGTCTTGGACAATAGCTTCATTGATACACCAGTGATCTAACAGATTGTTGAGAAAGACGCTCTAGCCTGTGTTTAAAAACTATTATTTTATAGGTGTGCAAAATAGTTTCACTATGCCACTGAATATATGATAACTAGTTAAGCATGAGAACAAAAGAATACTCTCCACTCTCACTCCTTTAAATATGCATTTTCACCTCAGGCGGTTCTATAGAGAAGTGGAGGCACTCAGTTCTCATATAAACTCTAAAGAAACGTGCTAGAGCAATGAAGCTCCGTGGAGTGGGAAATGCCATCTGACTACCCGGAGTGAAATAGCAGAGAGCTGCAGCTTTCCACTCAGCTTGGAGAAGAGAAGCAAGGATGCGAAAGGTAGCAAAGATTCTCAACTGGGAGTGTATTTGACTAAAAAGTACTCCAAAATCGTAAAATGGGAGATGAGGCCAGCACCAGCCTTCCTAAAAAAGTCAGGAGACACCACAGAGTTAGGAGGATGCCTCTTTAGTTAGGGCACAATGTAGTGGCCCAAATCTATGAAATAGTAAAAATAACTCTGAATAAAACCTCGATTTAACATTATATGCAAATCTTTAATGCAACCTGTGATGTTCCCAGCTCTAAATGGGAATGAGGAAGAAAGTGGCAAAAATGGTATTAACACAGGCATTGAAGAAAAGAGGATCAGAAGTGGAAAAAAAAAAAAGAAAAGTGGGAGAGAAATATGCTCCCACTCTGCATTGTTTTCCTGATTGCTAGAACGCTACTGGAACCTAATTACCTGCCCAGTGTATTTTATTATTTTCTGTATTTTTGCTTTTATTTTATAAAATCACTCAAAGTTACGGTTAATAACTGCAAATGAAAACATGCAGGCCAGCTTTCACAAAGAGCAGCTGTTTTTCTAACGGATCTTGAGCAATCTGACTCTCCTAACTCCTTCAACTCACTGCTGATGCTTTCATTTTCTTCTGCCAGCACCAAGAGCTTTAAGCGAAACTATTGCTGTTCCTACCTCTGCCACACAGCGTCAGGGAAGGCTTGGAAAAGAGCTTGAGTTGCCAAGCTGACGGTGTTTGGACAAACTGGTTGAAGCTTTACTCAAG